GGGAAGCCATACCTGACTGGCTTAGGCCCGTATTACACTATCATAGTTCTATGACATATATCTATTATCATATGTCTTTGATGAAAATTATTACAGTGTAATGTACCAACTATTATAATGGTTTTGAACTATGATAATATGTTCTCCTTGAGAGAACATATTATCATATATTTGATCATATAATATGTCATAGAACTATGATAGTGTAATACCGGCCTTATGGGAGAGCTGACTGGCTTTCGGGCGGGTGACTGCCACACCGAGTAAATTACCAGCGCAGTGACTGCCTCTCCGGGTGGGCACAAAAGTATACATATATATATACATATATATATACATATACATATATATATATACATATATATATATATATATATATATATATATATATATATACACATACATACATAGTTCCTCTTTTATAGATATAGATTATAAAATTGAATTAGGGGAGGTACGATTGAGGCATTAGTTCAAAATTCCTCCATGAACAGCGCTGTAGTTAGAGAGCATTTTGGCAATGAAGGTTTACTAATCGCAAAAATAGTTCTGTTCATAAAATAAAATTATAAATGCCTCAAATTCAATTTTATAATTTTTTTATTATAAAATTACTATCATAACCTAACCGAACTAACCAAACTTGCTGATAATGAAATAATATAACAAAAGTTTATTAATAGAAAAAATAATTCTGTTCATTAAATAAAACTAGAAATTGCTCAATTAAAATTTTACAATGACTTAATAATAAAATTTAACTGTCATAACCAAACCAAACCAACCAAACTTGCTGATAATGAAAAAATCGTAGTCAAAATATTGTTGCCAGCAGCGGGATTCGAACCCGTGACTCTCAGCATAACAGCCCGGCACGCTAACCCCTTAACCACCGAGGCCGAAGGCTGCACACCGTATTTTACGGTAATGGTGTTCCCTAGAGAGTTATTTTCAGGAAGATTTTAGTAGCATGTTATTTTGACATGCCAACAATTATTACTCAATGCCTGTAATTCTCTATTTATTTGCATGTTGAGTATGACCATATGATCTGTATGAACAATTGTTGACCTTTTACTGTCTTGTTTCTGATAGGCTCGATGCTTGCATAGCTACATTTTTATTTTTTAGCGAATTTCCCTATAGGGAAGTAGCTATTACCGTAGGTCTCATGGTAAGACCTAGGCCCGGGACCGATTTACTTTTTCATTTTGATGTCCTCAGAGGCCAAAAACACCATTCGTTCAAATTTATATATATATATATATGTGTGTGTGTGTTCATCCGCACGATAACTTGAGTAATTTTCGTCCGATTTTTATAAAATTTGGTTTGAAGGTGTAAAGCGGGATAAACTTGAATGAGTTCGCGAACCAGCATGATCAGACAATGTTAACGGGGGTTTATGGGGGGTTTTATGGGGTAAAAATAGGTTTTTCCCATTTTTGACCCTAAACACGCAAAATTTCACAATTTCTTTCTAAACCATTTTGTAGAGCTTAAAAAAACAAATAATTTAGTATATTGAAGCGTTATTATGCGTTTAATTGTTACGGATAAAATTAAAAAAAAATTAATTTTAAATTTCCATGTTATTCTTATGGATAATAAGTCAACTGTTGTAGTTTGCTTGTTTATGAACATATTGTGATCAAATTTGGAAAATAAATTAATTTCTTACTAAACTACAGTACATTTTAACATTTAACATTAAAAAAAACTTTTTTACCCTCCCTGTTGCAGCAAACTAAGTACCGTACTCATTAAACTAATTCTGTTTAAATATGGAATAAATGTGTTATTTTTAAGGAGACATTTTAGTGTACATCCTGTAATAGGAAGGTCAAATATTGTAAAGAGGAGGTGTTTGGCAATGTTGTGTGAGTAGGCTGGTAGTGTTGTTAAACAATAACTTGTTGTGCTGACCTACTGAAGGCTGTTGCTTTAAGTAGGCCAGTGCACTTGATCAGGGGGTCAGTTTTGGTGTATAGTGTTTGTGTGGTGCACCAGAGGACGGGGTCCTGCTGGGGGAGCTGGAGCCCAAGGCCCTTGGCCTTGGGCCCAGGTAAGAAAATGTTAAGGGTTTTCAAAATTGGGGTTTAGAGTCTTTTCCAAATTGGGGTTTAAGTTACTAACTGATTTATACTGTTCCAGTCTACTCTACCTTTTTATGATTGTTTTGTTTAGCTTTGCGTTCTTTGTGTTGTTTTGAGTATTTAATAAAGTTGGGTTTTGTAAGCGAGTGCTGAGTTTCATTCCTGAGCTACGTCACCCAAAGTAACAGTACGTATTCCTAGAGGAATACGACCGTTACAATCCAATCAGGCAAATGGAAATTCGCTAAGTCTGCAGGTTTGCTGCGGCGGGGGTATTTTATTGAGCGAAGCGAGCAGAGCGAGCGAAGCTCACTTTCCCTCACTTTGTAACTTCTTTGTAAGAGCATCAGAATGTAATGGCTTGACCAATTGATATGAAATTTGGCCAACAGCTAAAGAATACTGAGCACAATGTTTTGGTAAAAAATATTTGCGAATTTCCTTCTGGATTTTATTTTACGGGTCACGCAATTTCGCTTTTTATTTTAATGTAAGTTGAAAGAAAAATTATATTGGGTTTATGTTTATGACATATGGGTTTATCTCGTTTCATTTAAATAAGATAAACATATGTTTAAGTGTTTGTAACTGTTTTGTTTACATTTCAATGTTTACTTTCATCCTAGGTTAAAGTTGAAATGTAACAGTTTATCAATGGAAGTAACAGTTTTGCTATATTTGTTTTGAGCATGCCTCAAAGGCCCAACGTAATATTGGTCGTCGCACCGATAATGCAAATATTGTAAGAGAGTGGCGTTGTGAACAAGAAGAACCAGATGAAGCAGTGGCGGAAGAAGCTGATAATGATAGACAGTTAGCTAATCAATTCCAACATGAATTAGATACACTAAAATTTTACACTTGCACTAACTGTCATCTGCAACAACTAACAACTTCAAACCAATCACCGATTTGTTCGCGTTGTCGTTCAAATGCAACTAAATTCACGGCGTTAAATAATATGGATGTGTCAAGTGTCCCGAACGAATTAACTGACCTGACGATTGCACGAGTACATCCTGCTATGCCCATTTACAAAGTACAAGCAAATGGTCAGGATGGCCAGTTTCACTACAAAGGTACAGTATGAACCACGATTACTAGAAAAATGAACTATCAGATAAATTTGTCATTCTTTAGAACTTAATTAATGTCGGGCAAACAAACGGCGAATCTGTTGAAAGGGAACATATTGTAGGGTGTTAGCTGCTTTAGCCATTGACAATCTTTAAATAATGCTTCGCTCATTTATGCGTCTAAAGTGTAACGGCAGACCACCCTAGTCTATTTGTGACTGCCCAGACAAATGTTTTGTCTATTTATGTTTTACCGGTATCTAGTTTTATTTTCTTGGCTAAACTCGAACCTCATTGTTGTTGACTTTGTCATATGCAGGTATTTACTCAGGGGAGGTATAGAAGAGGCTACGATGACAGCTGTGGGCTTCTTATTAGCTGAGGTAACGCCATTACCGTAACAAAACGGACAATAGCCATCGGCCTCGGTGGTCTAATGGTTAGCGTGCTGGGCTGATATACTGTAGGTCCCGGGTTCGAATCCCGCTGGTAGCATTAACTTTTTGTCCAAGATGTTTTTATTATCAGCAAGTTTGGTTGGTTTGGTTCGGTTATTACAGTTTAATTTTATTATTAAGTCATTATAAAATTTTAATTGAGCAATTTCTATTTTTATTTAATAAACAGAATTATTTTTCCGATTACTAAACTTTTGTTATATTATTTCTTTATCAGCAAGTTTGGTTAGTTCGGTTAGGTTATGATAGTTTAATTTTATAATTAAAAAATAATAAAATTGAATTTGAGGCATTTATAATTTTATTATATGAACAGAACTATTTTTGCGATTAGTAAACCTTCATTGCCAAAGTGCTCTCTACTACAGCGCTGTTCACGGAGGAATTTAGAACTAAATGCCTCATTCGTACCTCCCCTAAGTCAGAAGAAGCTCCTAAAGCCTGACTTGATCATGCTAGGTGGAACCCTTTTGTGGAAGTGGTGGGGATGAAGGGAGGGTTGAAAAAAAAGTGACGTAATTCTGGCGCCAATCTGGCCCCGGTCTCTGATTCTGGAATCCGCCATGTTGGAAATTTGTGAGTGATGTAGGTAGTGAAAACTTACTATCGATAGTCACACTATCGATATTTTTCGATAGTTTTTTAAAAACTATCGATACTATCGATAGTACTATCGATAGTTACTCAAATGGAGTTTTAATGCATTACATTGTATATCCTTCCTGCATGGGTTTAATCAATGGTTTCTACTTTCTACCTAGTCGAAGATAAAGCTGTATCAGATTATTAATTTTAACAATTTGTGAGTGACGTCCTGGTGCCTCCTTTATGATTTTTTCTTTTCCAAAATATTGGTAACATTGGTACTATAAAATAACAATAAGTTTTACCATTTTCTTTTATTATTCACTAAAAATATTATATATTTATGCTATGTGAGTATAAAATAATTTGTTAAATGAATAATAAAAAGAAAATGGCAAGAGAATTTTTTACCGTATACCGGTGTCTACTCTACACCATACCAAACCCCACCATCCATGCTAAAACCCATAAGGCAAATGTACCCATAAGTCCGGTAAAGTGAATTAGCAAATGCCCCCTCTTTCAAATGTTTAAGAAGGTACTTTTCTACCAATTTTTTCTACAATAAACTTTGAAAAAAAAAAAACTGGCTATAATATTAACAATAGGTATGCATTAACACTAGACAAACAATGAAATGTGAGAGTAACAGAAAAAGATTTTTTTACATAATTTAACCTAAACAAAAACTATCGATAGTCCAATACTATCGACCCACTATCGATATTTTTAAACTATCGATACTATCGATAGTAAGTTTTCAGTTTTCACTAGATGTAGGGGCCTAACATCGATAGAATTGTGGATGTAACATCTAAGTGAAATCTAAGTTAATGCGGTTTTGGCATTAAGTAAGATTTTGTGATAGTTTTGATACGCCAACTGTGTAATTCGTTACATGATTTAGGCTAATAATTCGATATCGGTCATTTCTTGATAGGCTAATTTATAGGTTAGGCATAGGCCTATTTAACCTAGACTAATTCGTATTTCTGCCCTAGGCCCTACACTAATTAAACATGGATACAAAGGCATAAAAAGAACTGATCAAAGTGTTGTGCCCAAGCACTTTTCAAGCCTACCAGTGGCTAAAACTCAACAGAAATAGATGCACAGGCTAGGCCTAGCCTATATGGGCCTGTGATGATTGAGGTAAGTTCTTGATAGATTTTTAACTTAAGTTTTTTTTGTTGGCGCGAGTTATATAGAAACAGGGAGTACAGTTTCTTAATTGGTCTATGCTAATATCGATTGAAACTATTGAATTGGAAATATTGATTAATAATCAATATTTTGAAATACAATATCAAATTAAACTATCATAACCTAACCTAACCAACCAAACTTGCTGATGGTGAAAAAATTTTAGGCCTAGCATACCTAGCCCAGTTAAGAAACTGTACCCGGAACAGGTCTAGGCTAGGCTATTTTGCAGGTTTAGGAAGTTGTTTACCGCATCTAATTAACTGTGTGGTCTATCTTAAATAAATCTGGTAAAGGATCGGACTGACTTAACTCTAGCAGTGGCCGATTGTCATCTGGTGACGATCTGACGTTGATGCTTAGAATGGCCAAAGTCGTCTGGTGACGATCTGGGCCGATATTTTTTTAGCGGTAAAAGAAACACTTACAATCAACTCAGATGAGAATAATAACTTATACCATTCGAAAGATCACATTGTGAACTTTCATTTTATTACATAAACAAACCCTGTAGCAGGTATATAACAATGTCACGACGATAAGAAATCAAATGAATTTTTGGCGCGGCACGACTTTTGTAGCCGACACTTGGGAACTGTCAAAACACGTCTTGTTTGGCATTACCCTGCTCAGATAATTATCGTCGTGGGATGTTGCGGGTGGTACCACTGGATAGCCATTGATTTTATCTTCATTGTGGTAGTAATATTTAGAAAGAAATACCGTATTGATTGCACAACCGGTACGATTTTATGAAAACAGCTGTTTTCAAAATTTTAACAAATGGCCAATGGTCGTCAGGTGATGATGTGGAAAATACGAATTACATACACTGTAAGTTATTATTACTAGTCATATAATATGTCATTTTGAAGGGGAAGAAATATAGATTGTGAGAGTGGCAGCCCTGCGCTCAGGGTTATTTACGTCTGCTCACATATGAAGAAGATGGAAGTGAGTCATTACTGCTACAGCTGTCTTGTGTATTCGCCTTTGTTTGTTGTTGCCGTGAGTGTTCGCTCTGGTGTTATCCGCGGTTTATTACTAAATACGTTATTAGTTCATAGTGTTAGTGAAGTTTGTGTGTGTGTATAACAGTAATCTTCATGCATTTTATTACGCTTAAATATTACTGAATTGTGTGAAATAGTGTTCATAAAAGGTTATATTTTGTTAGCACCATGTACTAAAATAACGATTCTGACATTTAGAGATTGTTGTACGAGATGGACCTTAGTTCGCCATGCTATATAATGATATACCCAAGGTGTTATACATTTTTATAAAGGTAAATGAATACACTACAACATGTTTTTATTGGTTTGGGTGTAAAAATGTGGTAAAAAAGTTATATACTATATACTGTACACTCCATTTTCTCGAAATGCGCAAAAAATTCAAAACATTCTGAAATTGATACATAATCATAGGTGAAAATAACTTTTTACCATCATACTAATGACTTTTTTGGATTCCTTACTTCATTAGCTTTACAATATGTACATATCATCAGCCTACATAATGTTTTACAACACAAACAAACACTGTATCAGTTTACACTTATTTGCGGTTTTGCGGTTATTGTATTATTATGTCCCTATTACGTAAGTACCTACAAAAAATATTTCTAACATGTTATACATTTTTATGTAGGTAATTGTATACACAACAAGATTATTATGTTAGTTTGAAGTAAACAAATTTGGTACAAAAGTTGTATACTAAATACTGTGAATTTTTTTTCTCGCGAAATCGCTAAAATATAAAAACATTATTTTATATACGTATGTTTATAGGTAAAACATTATATTTACCATAAACTTTATGACTTTTTTTTATTCTTTACCATACTTCATTAGCTTTACAAACATGTATATATCATTATTAGTAGCCTATATACATATATTATATAACTTTTTACAACATACCTAAACTAACACTGTACGGTTTTCAATTTTTTCGGTTCTCCGTTTGTCATTATATTTCGCCCCAAAAACTTATAAAAAAAAATATTTTTCTAACATGTTGTATATTTCTGTGTAGGGAATTAGATTGTCTACAAAATGTATATAATGAATTTCCCATGAAAAATCTGTCGAAAAAAAATACCGAGACCGCTTTTGAAATTAAAAAAAAATTCTATTTTTTTCACTTTACCGATAAAATACACTTTCTAAATCATTATGATATTACTATTTCTAGATTCTCCTGTTCTTTCCGATCTTCGGCTAGGTTTACTTGTACGGTTGAATTTTTACGAATTTTCAATAAAAGGTCTGCAAAATCGCCAAAATGGGTTGGCTATTCCCCACTTCTAACATTGGCCACTGCTAGGGTTAAGTTAACTTTTAGACATATTATAGCATGTTAGGAGATAGGCCTAGGCTACTTAGCAGCCATAATTTAGTTCTATAGTTTACTTTGAATGATGGGCCTCTCAAGTACAGAACACATGTACTTAACTTGTGTTGAAACCTTCCTATTGTTAAACAAGGCCTTAGGCCTAGTTGTCCATTTTCAGAAGAGGGCCTTTACTAGGCCTATTTTAAGTTTCCCTTAACGATTAAATTGTTCTCAAATGTGCACCACCTGGTATTAAGAGAGTCATAGGTAAGCCTAAATATCGCCCTCTGTGCGTAGGTACCATGTTCAGTCTTCGGCCGTTAAGTTACCTCATCAACACTGTTAATGCCTAACTCATCTTGCTGCTACCTGTAAGTAGCCGAAACGGTACTTTCCTGTTAACACGTTCGCTGCTGAGCGCTAGATGCCGGGGACGGACGGAAAGTACGTCCCCACTAGCTGCAAAGAATTATAGGATGCTCGTGACGAGCTGGCTGATCCATGGAAACGTTAAACAACAATGAAATTGGCAACGTTCCTAGCTCCTGGCGCTGTGGCCCTGCTGAAGTTGCGGAACGTCCGTAGCAGCGAACGTGTTAAAGGGAACATTCATTATTACCGATGATTTCTTTTTGATATATTGATTTTTTAAATTTGGTATAGGCTAGGCCTATCGATATTAACAAATTGAAACTTACCAGCTGACAACTACGATAAATAAATATTGTTCGTATCAACTAACAATAAAAAAATATTATATTAAAACTAAACTGTTCTAAACAAACCAAACTTGTTGTAACATTTCAAAATTCCGTTCGATAATCTAATCCCCATATGCCTTATCTGTTATCAAACGGAATTTTGAAACAGTAACTTAGCCTACAGCAAGTTTGTTTAGTTATGTTAGGTTAATTTAAAATAGTTTCATTTCTTTATCCAATAGGCCTAGGCTTTATACCTAGGCTATTATTTTTGCCTAAACAAGATTAGTTCTTAATCCTATTCTCTAATACAAGCTATAACTCAATAACTCCGTTATTGAATCAAGTATTACGTAGACATTTGCTATGTCTGTTCGTCTGTCTGTCTGTAATTTAAAGATACCATATAACATAGTAATAACAACTCCGATGACGTACGGTATGGGTAATATTTTATTCATTGAATGATCAACCAAATTTGGCAACTAACTCAATATCATTATTGTTTTTACACCTATTGGTATTACTCTTTATAAACAATGCTAAATGCTCAAAATATGTATATTTCACCCAATTTATCGCAGTTGGGTGAATTAACGTAAGCCTTGAAAGTAACCGTTGATTTCGACGGGTTTCACCTAGTTCTCTCAAATTGGTGGAGACATAGTTTCCAATTGAATATTTAGATTCCCCCATGTTAATCTTATTGTAGAAAACCCAACTTTGATGGAAGTTCCTGCCTGAACTAATTAAGATTTCAACAAAATATAAACACTTTACAATACTACAGATCAGGGTCATTATTTTGACACTAATCATCAAAATTGGTCCAAAAATGAGGGAGGAGTTCTGTTTACAAAAATCGGCTCAACGTTTTATATATACTGTATAGATTCTTTCCATTCCCAAAGTACCCATGAACATTTGAGAAAACTACAAGTCGCAACCCCATAAACCATATACTTAAAATGTTCGTCATGACGATAAACCTTGTTCAAAACTATCCATTAATGCCTAAATTGCCCTTTAATTTCGTAATTCATTTCTAAAGGGAACTTTCCATACACCTAATGTTAAAAATACCTTAGCTGTTCTCATTTGCATATTATTCTCTACTTTATTTTAATCAGGTGTGATTATTTGTTTCTGTTACTTTATTCTGTTTTAATATTATTTCAGCTTAACTCAAACTAATCAATAGTTTTATTAATAGGCCTGTATTTTTATAAATTAGAGATAGCTAATTTATGTTAGATAAAATTATTTTGTCCTGTAATTTTGTTATCATACTTTTTAAATTATTGATAAAAATACTAATGGTTTTAAACCAACACTCCATTTTCTTCTATTAGTGGTATTTGGATGTCACAAAATCTAGGAAGGAGTGAACACTTTTAAACTTTGTTAGTGTAATATTATTTGTAGGCTAATACTAATTTTTTGCAATATTTCTGTTTATAGCCAGTACCAGTACAATGGGGGAGTTGTAATTAATATCCTCCGACATTGGATGATTCAGGGGAGAGGCTGAGGCGGAAGAATAGGTAGAGGAACAGTAGATGGGGAACGAGGCGAAGAAAAGACTACCTACTAGGTAGTGTAGAAGAGAAATATGGTAAGTTTTGCCATTTCCTCAATTTTAATACTTATCAATCCTGGATTTTATTTAATGTAGGCTGTTAATAATTTATAAGTAGAATTTCCCCTTGCGAGGCTTAGCTCACACTGAAGCAATGTTGTAAGGACAAAATATCCCGCCCGCACCAGTGGTGTCGGTACCGCGGGGCAAGAATTCCCGCACCTTGCACTCATAGTGTTAACCCTATATAAATAGTCAAAGGCAAGACAACGTCTGCCGGGTTCAGCTAGTTATAATATAAAAAGTATTATTATGGCTATTAAATTGATATGTCTATGGATTTCCACTTTTGGCTGAACTTGTTAAACCATATACAGTGTGTAAATTAAGTCTGGCACACATTTTTTATCTTTTTTCTATAGTAGATAGAAGAAATCAAACCTAGTAGGTAGACTAGGTAGTGTAGAAGAGAAATATGGTAAGTTTTGCCATTTCCTCAATTTTAATACTTATCAATCCTGGATTTTATTTAATGTAGGCTGTTAATAATTTATAAGTAGAATTTCCCCTTGCGAGGCTTAGCTCACACTGAAGCAATGTTGTAAGGACAAAATATCCCGCCCGCACCAGTAGTGTCGGTACCGCGGGGCAAGAATTCCCGCACCTTGCACTCATAGTGTTAACCCTATTGAAATAATACAGTGTGTAAATTAAGTCTGGCACACATTTTTTATCTTTTTTTCTATAGTAGATAGAAGAAATCAATTTGCGGGACTGATTAATAACAAATGTTAGGCACTTTTTACAAATTTTGAAAATAAAAATTCCCTTAAGGGCAAGGGGGGGGGGTAGGGGGTAACTAAAAATTTTCAAATGACAACCCCCATCTTGTGACCCCTCATTTTAAAGGTCATTGAAAGACAAATCCAAAGATGTGTCTGAAAAAATTTTTTTTGCACCCTATCCAAGATGGCGGTTTAAAATGTACTTAGGGTTGAACGGGTAAATTAGGTATGGCACACATTTCTTATCTTTTTTACTCTTTGTAGATAGAAGGAATTAATTTGCGGGATTGAGTAAGAACAAATGTTTGGCACTTTTTCATAATTTTGAAAAAAATTCCCCTTAAGGGTAAGTTAGAAAAAATTGTAAAATTGTAATTGTTAAATTGTAAATTAAAGGTAAGGTGGTGGTGGGGGGTAACTAAAAATTTTCAAATGACAACACCCATCTTGTGACCCCTCATTTTAAAGGTATTTGGAAGACAAATTTAACGATGTGTCTGAACAATTTTTTTTTTTGCATCCTGTCTAATATGGCGGCTTAAAATGTACTTAGGGTTGAACGGGTGAATTAAGTCTGAAACACATTAAAATTGTTTCAGACACATCGTTAAATTTGTCTTCCAAATACCTTTAAAATGAGGGGTCACAAGATAGGGGTTGTCATTTGAAAATTTTTGGTTACCCCCCACCCCCACCTTACCCTTAAGGGGAATTTTTTCAAAATTATGCCAAAAATTGCCAAACATTTGTTTTTACTCAGTCCCGCAAATTAATTCTTTCTAATCTACAAAGAGTAAAAAAGATAAGAAATGTGTGCCATACCTAATTTACCCGTTCAACCCTAAGTACATTTTAAATCGCCATCTTGGATAGGGTGCAAAAAAAAATTTTCAGACACATCTTTGGATTTGTCTTCCAATGACCTTTAAAATGAGGGGTCACAAGATGGGGGTTGTCATTTGAAAATTTGTAGTTACCCCCTACCCCCCCTTGCCCTTAAGGGAGTTTTTATTTTCAAAAAATTTGTAAAATGTGCCTAACATTTGTTATTAATCAGTCCCGCAAATTGATTTCTTCTATCTACTATAGAAAAAAAGATAAAAAATGTGTGCCAGACTTAATTTACACACTGTATATGGTTTAACAAGTTCAGCCAAAAGTGGAAATCCATAGACATATCAATTTAATAGCCATAATAATACTTTTTATATTATAACTAGCTGAACCCGGCAGACGTTGTCTTGCCTTTGACTATTTATAATCCCGCGGGCTTTGCCCCGTTTAACTTCTCAATTTTCAAGATGATCTCGTTCGCATGGCTCAATCACGTCCTGGTTGAAGTTCGTTCGCTACGCTCACTCACCTTTAGGTTGGAGCTCGTTCGCTGCGCTCACTTGCCTTCAGGTTAGCTCGTTCGCTACGCTCACTTGCCTTCAGGTTAGCTCGTTCTCTACGCTAACTCGCCTCCAGGTTGAAGTTCGTTCGCTACGCTCACTCACCTTTTGGTTGCAAATTAGCTGTTGTCATAAATTTAAAAGAAATAATAGTGCTGCACCCTGTTGGTAATCCTTGTAACTTTAATGCTATTGAACATCATAGAACAGAACCAACTTGTTTAATTGAAACAGCTGTTAAGATTCATTAATTCCATTTCTCATAAGGTTAACATGGGAAACTCCAGAGCCACTGGGGCGGAGCCGATTGGACGGATCACGAAATTGATGGTGTATAAACCTATTCCATGACATTCTACACGTATGTACCAAGTTTCGTGGCAATCGGTTCAGCGGTGTCTGAGTTTATCACTGCCAAACAAACAAACATACAAACATCCTCTTTTATACTTATAGATTAAGCAGCACATTAATTCAGAAAGCCAAAAGTGGAAATCCATAGACATATCAATTTAATAGCCATAATAATACTTTTTATATTATAACTAAGCAGCACATTAATTCAGAATATGGTCATTGATACTAATTCTTTTTCTGTATCTATTTCAGGTCTGATGATGGGTGGATGGCGATGAGGGCATGGAGGATGAGAGAAATGGGGCTGATTATGTTGATTAGGTTAATATTTGTTTTGAACATTAGTATTCTTATATTTGAATTTTGTATCATTAAGATAATTTTATGTTTTTTAATGAAGATGTTTTTTTAGTTTTAATATCTACTTTGTTGTACTACTGCCTAGTTTTATAAATAAACTGTTTATTGTGTTTGTTGAAGTTATTACTTTCACTAACTGACATTGTCAATTAAAATAATTAGGTCAAAAGATATATCTTGATATTAATTTATCTTTAACATATCCTTGTTGCTAATTACTACACAATTTTCATTAATGTAAATATTTTATTGACAAATAACTTACAAAGAGCTGGTTAAGGTTTGCAAATCATATAGAAAGTATGTATAACCATGTATAACTTTGTCTGTTCCAAAATTCAAGTTTACACTCTTACCATTGATTATAGAAAAATATAATTAACACTTTTTCCAATGTTTTTAGAAACAAAAGTCAACTGTAAACAGCTTAGTTTTAAAATAGGTATTGCAATTGAAACAGCTGTGTAGCTAAACACTATACACCACTAAATTAATCGCAACATATAAAAAAATATGTCATGATCATGTTTAGTGAAAATAAGAATACATTTTTTTCCAACAACAAAGCACGCAAGAAACTTAGATTAGAAGAGACTCGAGATATAATTATGGGATATAAAATGTACACTTCTGCTTATTGCAGTATCAAAAGGCAATCAATATTTACTTTTTATAACTCTTAACTCAAAACTTCCAAACTTCCCAAAAAGTCCATATAGTCAATATTGAAATGAAGTCTTCAGGGGAAAGTAGTTGAAACACTTTTCTACATTCAGGTAGTTACAAAAAAATCAAACTGGTAGTTAACACACAAAATGGTTGTAGCTGCCGGGTATCGGATGCCAACACAATTGACATGGCTTTTTGCAATCATCTGCTTATTCTACTCTCATAATTATTTTTATGCTCCTAATTATTATAATTATTACGGTACATTTACTGTAGCTGTGTGACACCTTAAAAGACGCATTTGGCGAAGAGTTCTTCGGACAAAACCCATCCAAACAGGCGTACAACCTCTTGCTGCAGCAACAGAAGCAATTTTTTTCAGCACTTCAAGACAGCAAAGCTGGTCTTTTGCCTTATCCAGTTTTTAGCGAATTTCCCATATAGGGATTAAGCTATTACCGTAGTACTCATGGTAAGACCTGGACCTGGGACCAATTTACTTTTTCGTTTTGAGGTCCCTAGAAGCCAAAAACTAAACTACAGTATTAACATTTTACAACAAAAAACACTTTTTTACCCTCCCTGTTGCAGAAAACCTAAGTACTCGTTAAACTAATTTTATTTAAATAGGGTATAAATGTGACATTTTTAAGAAGACATTTTAGTGTAAATCCAATCAGGTGAATGGAAATTCGCTAAGTCTGCAGGTTTGCTGTGGCGGGGATATTATTTTTTTGCCTTAGCCAGTTTTTATTAAGGAAACAAACAAAATGTCTCTACAACATCAAGGAGGAACAGGGCAATGGAAGAGCAGGTAATAATCAAAAACTACAATACACGTAACAAAAATAACTTCGTAATTGGATAACATATATTAGAGCTCTTAAAGTTATTCCTTTAAAAATGAAAAAGAACAAAAACCCAACATTTTTAAAACACGTCTCAAGGAATATTAAATGGACCTGTCCTTTCACTCTTTAGACAAATTGAAAATGGCTTAATCATAGTTTTAACTTATTTGACACTATTCTTGTACAACCACTATGAATAAAGATACTTGACTATGACTATAGATAAATATATAGTGGAAGAGCAGAAAGCCATCACAGAAGAGGTGCAGCATTAAATTTGAAATTAAAATATCAGTTCAGATTTGGTTCTTTACCGATCCAATACAATCTTTGAACTTTTTAAGCCCTTCATGTTTTAAACTTATAAATCAATGCGAAATAGAAAACTTTTAGGCCTATCATATAGGTATCGCCGTATCGCTAACTGTTGTCATTTCACGCAACAGTGAGCAATCCTTTCAAACTGACAAAGAAGGAATTTAACATAAAACTTACTTTTGCCATGACTATAAACAAAACATGTGGACACTGGACCGACTCTAGCAAAAAAAGGATTGTTAGTGCTTGACCCCATTTTTTAGCATAAAATTTTGTGGCGTTGTCAAGGGTGCACATTTTTTAATGAAAACTCTGTGCAAAAGGCCATAAAGACAAATTTGTATACACTAGAACCTTGATAACAAGACTCTCATGGGGATTGTAAAATAAGACTTGTTATCAAGGTTGACTTCTTATCGAGGTTTGTAATAACATGTGATTAGGGGTAAAATAGTTTTTTAGGGGATTTGAAAGTGACACTTGTTATCAAGGGCGACTTGTTATTGAGGGCCTTCTTATCAAGGTTCCCCTGTACAGCCATAACATCGCTTCAAACATATAGAGTGTTCAAAAAGAGGTTTTGTAAACATATAAATATAACTACACGTTATGTTTTTGAAAATATTACTGATCCAAAATGTAAACTCATGCCTATTTCTAAAATAAGGACCCATGCCTAATCAACGACTCAATGTATAAAGATGATGTATTAATCCACACAGTGCAGTATTAACTGTAGGCTATGTGTACTTCAATTAAGTGGGATTTGAGGAGATGGTGTGAATTTTCGTGGGTTTAATTGTTTTAGTATTTCTAGTGTGTTTTATAGTAGGTATCTTGTATAATTCAGTTTTTTTTTTATATTTGTTGAACTTAACAAGAACTTAGGTTTGCTACAACAAGGAGGGTAAAAAAGTGTTTTTTTTTTCAAAATGTTAATAGTTTAGTAAAAAATGAATGTTTTTTCCGAATTTGATCTAAATATGTTCATAAAAAAGTAAACCACAGTTGACTTATTGACTTATTCTTAAATCTTGAGGAGATATTTGTTGTTGTTGTATGTACATTACTTTCAAAATCTATACGCTTTTTCTGAAGTCCAAATTAATATTGAATATTTTTGTATGCACAGTACTTTGTTAATGTTATTATCTGTTATTGTTGTTACGTTGTTGTCTTGTTATTATTTTTGTTGCAATGCTGCTTTGTTCAATGGTCATTATGTAACTTATCTTGTTATATTTTTATCTTTTCATTCTGCTCATGTGCTTAAAACACGTATTATTTTGTAAATGGTGTATCGGTTGATATGAATCTATATAAATAAAATTAGATAAATAAATAAGTACAGTACAATTAATTAATTAATTAAGCTTTTTGCCACCATGTCGGAAGACACAGGTTCGAACGGGAAATTTAGTTCCCGTTCAGTACTGACTACATCACTGCATTTACCTGGCAGTGTTGCCATGCGGCGGGAGGAAAGTTAAATTCAGGGGCGTATACTCGCTGAATTAAATTAGTTATTGAGCCAAACTATCTATGACTAAACTATACGTGTGGCATTTGTTGTTCAATACTGGCATGTTACCGGTAAGTTAAACTATAATTATGGGGTCTTTTTTCATATTTTCTTGCCCCAAAGCTGGTTCTATAACTAAATTGAAGTGTTACATTCGTCAGCCAGCTCAGCTCCTGTATTGTTAGTATTGTTACGGCCGTTTCAGCTTCATTGTGCTATCATCAAACTGTTCGGCCAAAGGCGTTGTTATAACACAGAAACATTTCCACACGAAACACACACATAGGCAAAATTGGTTAAAAAAAGGCCTGTTAATAAATCGACCGCAGAGGAAGGTGGTATTCTGAAAGAGAAAGAAATTTTCTACAATTACTAGGCATTTCTTGAAAATACTTAATAAAGGTAGGAAAAAGTTTCCTCCAAATAAAAAAAAAACGTGTAAAATACAATTGTTTTCTATTTATTATGGAAAACAGGGTTTTTTATTTATCACCATAAACCATAACTAAAACAAACTTTCATAATTCATTATTTGCAAATCTTAATCTCCGCACGAATCAAGCCATCAGTCCAGTGAAACTGTATATTATATATATTAACAAAAGTATACCGTGCAGATAATAACAAAAAATATTCAATATCATCATTAATTTGGACTTCAGAAGAAGCGTATAGATTTTGAAAGTACAACAACAACAAATATCTCAAGATTTAAGAATAAGTTAACTAGCTGTGGTTTGCTTTTTATGAACATATTTTGATCAAATTCGGAAAATACATTCATTTTTTATTAAACTATTAACATTAAAAAAACACTTTTTTACCGTCCTTGTTGCAGCAAACCTAAGTACTCGTTAAAAATTCTATTTAAATAGGGAATAAATGTGGTATTTTTAAGGAGGCATTTTTAGTGTACACCCAATCAGGCAAATGGAAATTCGCTTAGTCTGCAGGTTTGCAGTGGTGGGGGTTTACATTCAAGTTTTATACATTCAAGTATAATACTATTTGAAACGATAAAAAGTGGGGCGGGGGATCTTTACATAATAGTTTTATGATTATAAAAACTCGTTGTAAGCTGACCGCTAAAGACGTTAGCTGGACTTCAAGCTCAAAATAACTTAAGATTATACTGGATACCAAAAGATGTTACATGATCATGACCATAATTGTTGGACACATTATTTTACATCGTGGTAATTATATCGACCTCCGGACCTCACGCGAAATTAAAAATTTTTTTTTCCAAAATGTTCGAAATTTCACGCTGATTTCAAAAATGATTGTCGTTTTTTCGGAAACGTCCCGTTTTCCCGGAAAATGGGAAAAACGGGAAAAATATTCTTTTGCTCAAAACCCATGTTGTGGGTACTCAAATTGTGCGGAATTTCCTCCTGAACAAGAATATGTAAATTTTATTACGATCGGACCACTATTAAGTAAAATATCACAGAAAAACGGGAAAACGGGGAAATTTTTCTTTGCTCAAAACCCATGTTGTAGGTACCATGAAAACGGCAAAGGAAAAATATTATAGGACCAAAATTATTGTTGGGTACCGGTACATTATTTTACATCATATAACATTATCCATTTTTGTGAATAATTAATACAATCAGAAGAGTAAAAAAGAAAGAGTGTATGATGATGCTATCAACAACGGGGAAAATACAAAAAACTCCATAATTAAAAACGAATTCCTTCCCATCCTCAAATTCAAATGATAATAGGCCTACTGTACGCATTTTGTTTTCATCCA